GAGCTCTGCAGAAAGCGGAGTCGCCCGACCCTCCAGGGAGCGGCGTCGTGGAGGTCCCCGCCCGCGGTCTGCAGGCTGCTGTTCCTGGGCCAAAGGGGACACGTGCTTACAGCCCGGAGGCGGCCGGGCTCCAAGGAGAAGATGCGTCCGGCCGCCGCCGGGTGGAGAGGCGACTTCCTCCGCCCTGGCAGAGCCTCGGACTGAAGCCCAGAGGACCCCAGCACTGCGCAGAGCCTTCTCCAGGCCTCAGGGCCTCGCAGAGCTTCATCTTTCCAAGTGAGAACGCTCACCAGGGCTTGCCTAGCAGCCGTCCACTCGGGGAGCGCCAGTGGAGCTCGCGAAGGACTGACAGCTGCGGGTAGGAGAGGAGTCTGGGGAGGATGGTAGACAGAGAACCGAAGCGCGAGAACCGACCGCACAGCCTCGCGGTGTTGGAGAGGCCAGGGCTCCTGCCCCTGGAGCCTCCATCCGGTAGGCACCCACCTGGCAACGCAGTTACACAGGACGCAGTGAAGCCCTAGTCTGGCCTGTGTTCCTGCACTTTCCTTTCTGGGTCGGAGGGAGGTGGGTTGATGGTTGCCAGCGCGTGAAAACCAGGGCAGGCACCTTTTTGGCTCCCTTGGCGTGAAAGGGCGGGAAGGAAAACACACAAACCCCTCTTTCCCTTGAGGGGGGGCGGTCTGCAGGGATGGGATGGATAACACAAACACAGAGGAAAAGCACTATTTATTTAAGAGGTTGCATGAGTTGAGCGTGGCTATCCTTAGAAGAAAAGTAGGACGGGAGAAGGAAGTTTCTATTTTTCTCAAGCTGCTTCAGACATGTAATTGAGAAAAATGTATAGTGAGTAAAAAGCTCGTATTTTGTATATATGAAGTGATTGAAGTCCTTCATTTGTACTTTGCATTTATACTTTTGTAATTATATGTTTTGCTTCCTTACAGATTCACTTATTTGACTATTTGACCATCATAAGAAATTTAGGAAGTAAATTTGTTTGTTAAGCCAAAATAAACCCAAGCCTTATATATGCCAGAATATTATGCTATTATTATTTTCTACATTAGGAGAGAATCTGAAATGAAATATACAGTGGTTTTTAGATCAAATCAAACAACTATTCTAATTTGTCTAAGGATCTACCTTGATTAAAAATAAATTATAACAAACTTTTTCAATGCCATTATATATTAAATATTTGAATTCTTTAATTAAAAGTATTCAAGATTCCCAGCTTCAACAACATCACAAGGCCCTATGCAACTTATTGGGACCCTATCTCAAAATAAAAAATAAAAAGGGCTGAGATATGTAGCTCAGTAGTGAAGTGCCCTGGGTCAAATACTGTTAAGGTCTGTAGACAAGTCAAAATAACACCTGGTATTTTGCCAGGGGAATGTAGAGTTCGTAAACAAGTCTGGATGGTGCCTGGCAAAATGCCAGAGGGAGTGGTTTGAGAAGTAACAAAAGC